TGATCACCAGGAAATAGTTGGGGGCTTAGAACTAGAAGAAACATACTCAACCACAAAGATCATGGAAGTATTACGCTATGAACCGAGCTGCACCTTGAATATTTGATAAGCAAAGAACAACCCGAGGAACATACGGAGACATGGCGCATCTTTTGACGATTTGTCTCTTATACCATTTCTAAAGGAGAACTCTACAAACATAGAGTTATCGGCATACTATAACGCTGCATTTCTGAAGAGGAAGGGCAACAGGTCTTATAAAAAGTTCACTCCGGCATGTGTGGGCACCATGCAACACCTCAGACCTTGGTAAGCAAGGAATTCGGAGTAAGCTTTTACTGGCCCACAACAGGGCCGAAGCACGAGACTTGCTCGACAAGTCTGCCGGATGCCAGCTCTTCGCTAAAAGGAGCCACTTGCCAGCCATAGACCTAATAATAATCCCAATCACATGGCTGACTGCGGTCTGGGGGTTGGACATGGTCGGACCACTCCATAAAGGAAAAACCGGAAAAAAAGTATCTTTTAGTTATGGTCGACAGGATCACCAAATGTATTGAGGCAAAACCTCGGCCTTGGCAAAAGCTAAATCTGCGATTTACTTCATCTTGGGTGTTGTACATTGTTATGGGATGCCTCACAGTATCATAACAGACAAGGGATCAAACTTCACGGCTGAAGAGGCAAAATCATGGTGTATTAAGCACAATATCAAACTTGATTACGCCTCCATCTACCACCCACAAACGGGCAAGTAGAGCGAGCCAATTGATTGATCCTAAGTGGTATAAAACCATGCTTGGTCCGATCTCTAGCAGAAGCTGATAACAAATGTGTCGAGGAGCTTAACTCGTGTTATGGAGTTTGCGTACAACGCCGAACATATCCACTTGCTACGCGCCATTCTTTATGGTGTATGATCCTGAAGCCATTTTGGCCAGTGACCTCATTCACGACTCACCTCGGGCACGCTTGTATGAGGAAAAGGAGGCCAAACAAAGGCGACTGGACGATCTAGACGCCATGGATGAAGAATGAGACGTGGCTAAAGCACGATGCGCCTTGTCTAAGTAGCGGTTACGGTGCTACCAGCAGCACGAGGTCCAAAAAAGGCCTTCAACATTGGGGATTTATTGTTACGACTTCACCCTGACAAGAACGGTAAGCACAAATTATCGGCCACTTGATTGTCTCGTGATTCGCAAAATTTTTGGATCACGCACCAGATCACAAACAGGTTTTAAGTTTTAGTTTCTGCAACTTATGATTTTGTCAGTCGCTCGTACCAAGTTTGAAAAGTTGAAACTGAAGGAAGTTTTAAAAACTCATCAAAATATATTCAAAATGGATCTCATTTGAAAGGCCCTCATGACCGAAAAAATAAATATTTAAAAACAAAACTTAATTTGGAATTTTGGTATGAAAGATATGAAAGATTGAAAATCGAAAGCCCAAAGAAAAACTAGGCTGCGTGCCCCGCTCTTGCGTACATTCTACAAAGCACCTCCCTAGGAAAGAATACAGCTTCATATATATGCTTGATAAATAAATAGATCCTGATTTGTGAAGTTAATATTGAAGATGACACTAGGATCTAGGAATGATGGCGTCCATTGGAGAATGTGGAGGAAGTGAGAACTACAATTGCAGATCTATTCCCAGAAGAAGAATTCCCACGAAGTCACACAGGGGTCAGGGAACCAGGATTACCACTTCAAGGCCTACAACTACATCCTCCAAACTACTAAGTTCGCCAAAAAAAATTGCTAGTAGGCGTCCCAGTGTCAAAAGAAGAGCGGTATAAAGCCATAGTAGTAATGCAACCACATTGTTGGTTGTCGCTTGTAGAATAATCTTTACTTTCTGGTTATTGCATCCTTCTGTCCACTTAGGATAATTAGAGAGAGGCTTGCCGCTTTATTATTATAACAGCTCCATACTTGCATTGATTCATGGACCACAAGTGATTTAAAATGTCTTGTATTTGTTATTGTTATTTTGTCAGAAGAATTGATAATGCAAATTTTATTGATTTCGTTGTCACATCGAGTGATACAACTGTGGCGCACTCTGGCATCTGCATTCGAAAATAGATTAAAAATCTATGAAGTGCCTACCCGATGATTAGATCCTCATTCCCATTCATGCTAGATGAAGAGCTCCATACTATTTGCTCAAGGCCAAGGCACACCCATTCGTCATATCCCACTCTTTTCTCTTCTATTCATTGTTTGCTTGTGTTCATGGTCTTTGTAAATTGTTCTCCCTGGAACTAGGATTGTAGACCTCGTCCATGCACAACGCACGCACCAGACATGCCTTGGAAACCTGCACGCATGACATGCGTCATGAACAGATATGTGTGCGCTGTGCCTGGGCCATGCACATACACACGCACACACCAACTGGCCCATGGTATGGCACACACGCACGAGCGCACATGCCTCACAAACGCGCACTCCTGACCATGGCCGTGCACACGCGCAGGCAGACGGCCAGGGCCCCGGAGCGGAGCGGCGGAGTGGAGGGACTCCGAATAGCACTCTATTCTAAAAAAAAACTATGAATGATTTGAAAGCATATGGAGGTAACGAACACAAAAACACCATGATAAAAGATAGAAAATCCTAGATCTATTCGAAATATAAACAATGAAGGGTTTGAAAGCATATAGAGGAACTAAATCCATCTAAAAACTATGATAAAAAAGAATTGAAAATCTTAGATCTATTCTGAAAATGAAGCGGTGAAGGGTTTAAAAGAATTTGCAGGAACTGGATGCACCAAAAAACAACACGACATAAGATAGAAAATCCTAGATCTATTTTGAAAGCAAACAGTGGAGATTTTCACAAATATCTGTAAGAACTAAATGCACCTAGAAACCACCAAGATAAAGGATTGAAAATCGTAGATCTGTTTGTGAAAATGAATGATGGAATGTCTACAATCATCTGCGTAGGAATCCACATCATCGTCGACGGTTAGGTGTATGCATATGCATTACTACGCCACGTTCGTTGCTTCTCACGTTGTGATGTGATGGATTGTGGTGGAGGCCAGATGGCATGTCTGGGTGTCTATAGAAAAGCCAGCCGGTTGGAACAAAATGGCAAGTACTGATACGGATTAGAATTTTGGGATGGAAACAGCCAATGACTTTTGGCGCTGAGCCAAAATGAAACATTGCCGATTTAAAGGGAACTCTTATTTTAGAAAGAGGTAATGACAGGCCAATCAAACAAGAAAATAGAACGCATGGAAACAAGCTGTGAATTACCAATAAACACATTTCTACCCTAAAGAGGTTACTTTCTCCATAGCCATAAAACCTTCAAAGTCATATGCTTTGCTTTCTCTACACTCCAATCATATGCTTTGAACCCAATATCTTTAAAAAAATAGTACATTTGTATTATGGTGCAACCAAATAACTTCTACTATAGATATTACGTTCTCATCGCGTGGCCGCCCAGACGACTAGTTTGATGGAGAGACCCGGGAGAGATGTATCTCCTCGGTGGCATAGAGATTTAAAAAGAGTTGTCTCCCTTAGAAAATCATACACGTGCCAGCCCAAGGCATTGATACAAATCTCTCACATTTGTGCTACAAATAGCACTGTTATATACTCCCTCCGTCCCACAATATAAGACGTTTTGAAAGCTAACATAGCTTGCAAAGATGTCTTATACTGTGGGACGGAGGGAGCATTATTTATATCCATTACACACGACATATATGTGCCAGATAAAAGGTGACAAAAATATCACGAAATACATGAAATTCGCACAACTTTAACTGAGTACAAAATAAAGTACAATAGCTGAACGGAACAACGAACAAGGAACAATACAATGACTAGTTATCTTAGCGGACATTCCAGTCCTCTGCGTTCCGCATGGATGGCACGAGCCAGATAGGGGGGCATCGCGCCCGAGCTTGATTGCTGGTAAGTTCTACACCTAGTGCAAGATCTTCATTCAAGCTGAAACGGCATAGGTCAGGAAAGTCTCCATTCCAACTCCTAATGCGTTCATGCATACTGAAAATGCATCCATGCTTCATGAAGGGAAGGTCCTGGGCATCATGTACAGATGGTGGCATTTCAATCATCAGTGGATAATTCATGCCAATGAACAGAGAGTATGCTTCAAGATCATGCTTCCTTTCCCAGTGAGCCCCAGCAAGATTCCAGACCATGCCATTCAACTGGAACACAAGGCAGCGCATTGTTCCATATGAGCGCAGTCCTCGCTCTCGCTCCAGATATGGACTCTCGACCTCTTCCCCTGTTACAACTCCACGTGTGTGGACCAATAACATAGTTTGATTGTCATTTATGTCAAGTACAAGATTCCAAGAGAGAGGCGTGAGGTCCTGTCCATCGATGATAACAGGAGCCGGGATTTTCTGAGGAGCCAAGTTCAATCCTGCACAAAAACCGTTCATCATATTAGTTGTCTGAATTGCAATAGTTCTTAAAATGTGATCAATGTAGATGAGCTTACCGTATGAGAGCTGCCAAACGAAAACAGACCCCTCGTTTGTCAGTGCAAAGATCCGTCCGCCATGAAGAACAGCATCTTCATACACAAAAGGGAACATGAGGTCCGACCTTAATAGTTTCCACCCGTCGGAGGTGAAACCACCCCTGGCGATGGCAATTGAGATGTTGAACACCGCGATCACAGTGTACTTGCTATAGCCGGCCTTCTTGGATGGTGCATCAGCGATAGCTATCTTCTTCAGCTTTGCCCCTGCTTGATCAAAGTGGAATTGCACGGTGTCTGGCAAGTCTTCCAGATCAAACCCTATGCTGGAAATGGGCGGAAGTGGCACAGTGACCGTAGTGTACACATTGTGCAGTTCAATATGGCCAGCATCCCCGACATACGCTAGCCAGTCACCGTTAGCACCAACCCAGCGTTTGTCAGGAGTAGACATCAAGCGTGCCTGCAGCGTCGGGGCATCCAGAGGCATGAGCGTACATCGCGTACCTTCCTGTGGCAGCCCGATCGGCCATGAGAGATCCTCCTCGAGCACGCATGGTAAATCAAGCAGCATGTCAAGGGATATTCTAGGAACTGTCTCTAGAAGGACGGTGCAAGTACCAGCAAGTCGAGCACGACTAAGCACGTCAATCCGAGATGTCATTATTTGCAGGATGTCCTCCTGCATGTTGGCCCATCTTCGCTGGTTGCCGTCCGTCGCCTCCAAGTTTGCCTCGCGGGCATGTAGCATGTTGGCATTCCGGCTAGGCGATGTGGGGAGAGGATTTGGCAAACATTAATAAGACATGTAAATTCTAAAGGAATTTAGTAATATTAAGGTGTGTCAATTAGAATGGAAAGAACAATGGATAACCGGTGATAAATTACTCATTTGAGATGGGTTTGACAAACATCTCCAAGAACCAAATGCACGTACAAACACCATCAATTCTCAAAAGAAAACGTAGAAACATCATCAGAAATGGTATAGGAAATTTGAAATGTGCTCTCGAAATTATCTTTAAGTGTTCATTTGTAGCGTTAAGCAAAACAATGCTTTTTTTAAAATTTTCTGCAAAACTTCATTCTTCAAAGGCGTGAACTTCACAAAAAAGGGTGGGATTATAGAGATGACACATGATATAATACATGTCAAATCCATAAAACATGTCGGAATCTGATGGCATACGGTACGAAAAGAGAATCCCATTAAAAAAATACAAACGAGAACGAGCGGTGATACATGTGATTGACATGTATTATATCGTAATAGCAAAAGCAGCATACCGTGGCCGGCCGCGTATGGAGTTCCGTCTCGACCGTCGAATCCTCGCCATCGTCAGGTGTATCACGATACAGCCTGTAAGTACTACCCTGCCGTTGTGGCTTCTCAGGCTGTGATTGACTGGTGGAGGCCGGAAGGAGGTGATGGTTTGTCAGCCAGGCCAAAAGGCCGGCTTATATAAGCTAGCCAGTTGGAAAAAAATGGCAAGTCTTGATACTATTGATAAGGATTCAAATTTTTGGATTTTAGCGGGAGGCATGTGAACGTGTTCGGGTCTACGCGTTGAGTTTTATAGATGTAAACGTGGACGATATAACTTTATTTTCTTATGTATGTGAATGCGGTTGATTTAACCTTCTTGTTATATATGTGAAAGTGGTTTATTTTACTTATGTATGTGGACGATATAACTTTATTTTCTTATGTATGTGAACACAGACGCTCATACATACGAACATTTACTCATCCCTATAAACGCACGCACGCACGCCCTATCCTTATGAGCACCTCCGAGAGACTGAGACGACACATCATTTTGAGATTGAGAAAGTTGCCACAGACGTCTACCTAGTCAACGGGAACGTCTCCTCCCACTGAACCCACATCACCAGAAGGTCTGAAATAAATTCAGAAAAATACGAACACCAGTGTCAAGTCTGCACCTGAACCCTCGTGGGCCCGGGATAAAACCGTGCTCCTAGCCATCCAACCACATGTTGGTTAGTGGTTGGTTCCTGAGCGTATAACTTGTTATCAAAAGATAATCAGTGAATCCCTGGAGGGAAAAAAGTAAACACTAAAAAAATGCATAACATTATTATAACGCCATAGACATAAGAAAAATGCATCCTAGGTAATAAAAATGTATAGCTTTGGTCTTATATGACTTTGCTTTTGTCGATGTTTTTCCATGTGCGCGTGAGTTGGTGTACGTTGTGTGCATCTTAAGTATGCAAAGACCGGGTGTCTGCTCATTGTGTTATGTATGTTCTTGATGCTTCATTTTGAGGTTAAAAAAATCCACCCTTTGTCGAAAAAAGGATGACAAATGGCAGCACATAGAGACCATTGCCATTAGCAATATCTTTCACATGATTTGAGGAATATTAAACTTGTTTTTTCCTGGGTTTCTCGTGCGTCAAGAAATAGTGGGAGTACAGGTTGCACGGTTGTATTCCACCATGCAACAGAGGCTAAACTACGTTGGGAGCACAACTGACGCTACATGGGAGTACATTATCTGAGAGTTGCACCGAAAAACGGTTCAGCCAAACCTATCAACAATGTTTCTACTGCCAAAGATCTTCACGTGCCAATCGCAAAGATGAAAACAGCTCATAATTTGGACGCTCGATTCAAGAATATTCCACTTTGAAAAGTTGGATCCAAGAAAAAGAGGAGAAGCAACCCACCCATTTGCCTCCCATGGGAATAAACATCAAAAACTCTCTGGTGGCGACAACTGGCGCAAATGCAGTGAGCCACTTGTTCCCACCAGAGAAGTTTGAAAGTGACATTTGTAAGAGGTACCCCTTAACAAGTTATTTCGAATAAAACATTTCTTGAAATTACCATTCTACTTAAAACACACGGGGACCTATTAAGAAAACTGGCGCATTGTGCAAAAAACATTAAAATGAAATACTTATCAAGTGAGACAAAACAACTTGCGCTATGACACATAGTTAAATTGAGCCCATTTTACGCCCGCGGCTGCCTCCTTACTAGTTGAATTGACCCCAATGAGCTCACTTCCTGCCCGGAATCTCCTACACCGGTATGCAAGAGATAGGAGCCCTAGGGGCTACAGACCGTGGTGATGGAACGACTATGTTCGTTGGAGCAGTGGACGTTGGACTCAGTTCCAGTGCTCCTCTATCAAGTGTGGCTACTAATGTCATGCGCATGGCGCCATGATCGATTGTGTTGGTCGGGAGGTGGCCACTAGTGCCAATGAAAAATTTGGATGTGATGCTGATGTGCGTTCGATTGGCGCCTAAAGGGTGGCCGAGGATGTGGCTCAGATGACCGCCTATGAATGGGATCGAGAATCCAGATCTGTGCAGCGCCCAAGCTGATCACTCCTACATTTCAGCTGGCTTCCAAGGCCTGCAGGCGGATGCAGCTGCAGTGTGCTGACCGTGGGGTCACATGGAGATGTGTGGGGTGTGTTATGGGGTTTGATGTTCTTAAGTGTGTAGGGTTGAGTTGCAGCCTTTTCAGGGTAGGAGTATTATTCTCACAGAGTGCTTAGCAAATGGTCTTTGCCTCATAGAGAGGTTTATCAAAATGTGTCTGCAATTTGATTAGGGATGGTGTCTATCTATACAGAAATATATGTGGAATTTCGTGACCACTCTTACAGTATAACTTAGACACATCGAAGTAAATAATTTCACTTGTTTTTAAAAATATTTCTTGCACTAGTACTTGCATTAGCATAATAACATACTATGCGTTTGTGGATTGCTCACTCTTTATTATGCAACCAAGACATCATAATATAATTAACTATTATGATGCTCTTTAATTGATGTTAAAAAATATTAACAAATTTGAAAAATAGGTATACAGGAAGAATCAATCATGCCCTTTAAATTACCACAATGATCTGGAGTTAGAATAACTTATTTTGAAGTGTGGAGGTCTTCCCAAGGTGATAGTTTCTATAGCTACTTTACTGGCTACACAAAATGTAAACATTGATAGATAGTGTTGTTGGGATACGTTAGGCGCATCGGCTGCAATATAAAATTTTCCTACTGGCAGTACAACCAGGAACATGCTATGGAGATGGATCACATATCATTACCACTAGACGAATAGTACCATGGAGCAGAAGAAGAGTCGTGGAAGCGCGTCACCATAGTCATCTCCTCCTCGTGATCTCCCACGTAGCCGATCGGACCTCATGAACAGGTTAGTCAGAGCGTAGCAAGTGCACTGCCTCTAACGATATCCTCTCGTGCAGGAGGAGAGCCCGTGTGGCGGACTGCTAGGTCCGATTGCGTAGCCGGCAGCATGTGGAGGTGGCTAGTTACAACACATGCAAAGCCGTCATGACAAACGCTGAAGCGATCAACTGAATGCATGTGTCGCAACTCCACTAGGTGATCAACTGAAGCGATATATATATACACACACACACACACACACACACACACACACACACACACACA